CTTAGTCGTCCAGATGAGGAGCCATGACGATGATCCTGAGGTTGATGTTTCCTCGCTGGATTTGAGAGTGAAGTCTCGTCTTGCTGTTCTTCCATTCCAGAATGGCCGAAGTTCAATGAAAAATCTTGCGGGTACTGCAATATTATAATCATTCCATAAATAATTTATAAACTTTAAAACTGATATCTACAGTTTCATCGATTTTTTTATTGAAAAAACTGAACTGAGAAAATCCCCGATAGCCCAAGTTTCAATTAAATAAATGTAAATTAAATTTTTAATTCAATGATTTTTAATTAAAATGCGTGTTACTTGTTTTATATTTAATCTCTGCACGCTCTTCCTTAATTATCAGAGTAATTCGATCAAGGTCATGTCGACAATATAAATATTTCCTTTCAATCCCGAGGTATTTGAGAAAAACTTGTCTCGATAAAATGTTCACTTATTATTTATTCACGTTACCACTTCACCACTGAAATTTAATAATTAAACACGAGAAAGGAAGAGGAAATGAATGGAAACACAAAACAGCTGTTCATATTAAATAACACAGTCTTCTTATTACGATTGTTATGAGGGAAACAATAGTGTGAACTTACGTTTTCTCCAGTGTAATCAACTCTGCTGATGGCACCCTCACCTGCACTCGATAGAGTCTCATAACTCGTGTCATACAGCTGTTTCTCGTTGTCGACATGACGAATGGGTGCTCTGGGGTAATTCTCATCAAGTGGAAGATTGTTATTTCCGTCTAGTACGTACTCAGTAGTTGTGGTTGTAGTCGTTGCTGGTCGTCTCCTGGTGCCAGGTCTTCTTACTCTAGTTCTAATTCGATTTCTGGGTTCTTCAGCTCTCACTTTGGGTTTATTGATGAATCCCTCGAGGCTGGGAGTTGTCGTTATGATGCTGGAGGCTGTGGATTTAATATCGGGTCGAGGTCTGTTCGGTGATTGATATTTTTGTCGATGTTTTGGCACTTGTGTTACACTCGGACTCGAATCTTCAGCTGTTTCGTCGGTTGGTGCGACGTTTTGAAGCTGAAGTTGAGAATCTGGGGATCGAAATTTACTGCTCATCTGGTGCTGGGGCTGATTGAAGCTCGGAGTTCTGAAGAATCCGTACTCAATGTCCTCGGGGTTTAGGGAAGTGTCTTCTGGTGCTGGTGAAGGAGGTGGAGTTGTTGTCGTGATCTTCGCTGTTTGGACGATTGTCTTCGGGTGATTCTGACGGTTTGAGGACTGGATTCGGACGAATCCTTCACCTTTGCACAGAATAATTATCCAAGATTATAAATAGGGAGAAAAAAGAGACAGAACTTATTAATTCAGTGGTAGACATGACGTATCGTGACATGAGGGAAATCAATTAACTTGATATTGGGGTTTCTCAGTAGAATAGTTCAAAATTAATGAGAAGTTACTTCTAAATATAATTACATTCAATTACATTTAAAAGAAATTTATCTGAGTTCATGAGTCATTTTATCTTCTTAACTTTCTCTAATTCTTTCAATTCACAATTCTTCTTCGAATAATCTCCAAATAATTTCAAATGCTAATTGAATTATTCTATAATCTGAAAAATCTGTATTCATACCTTCACTCTGCACTTGCGCTTGATTATGAGGCCGTGATTTTACACGTCGAGGTGAATCCCGCTGACGGGATGAGGAGCCGCGACTTCCTGGGGGTTTAGTTACAGCACTGAATTGCACAAAATCATCCTGGGAGCCTCGGGGATGAGTCTGAATCGTTGAATCCTGTCGGGTTCGACTGCTCAGACGACCGCGAACTCGTTGACGAATTGTTGGAGGTGATTCCGTGGTTGTCGTGATTGGCTCAGTAGTTTGCTAAAAATCCCAAAATAATTGATATTATAACCCCAGAATTAATTTCTAATTTCGTAAATAAACGTGGTGCTTCTAGTAATAAATTATCTAACTGACTTACTGACTTAATTAATTAAATAATGAACGATAACAATCTATTATCTACAAAAATAAGAAACCCTTGAATCACCTCAACAGGTAATGAAGCTTCATGACTGTAGCCTTGTCCATCCTCAATACTCCCACTGAGTTTCTCCCCTGAGTACTGTCCAGACTGATTATATTCAGTGCTTAATTGGCCCTGTTGTCCCCCTGGGTAGGTGCCAGGCATGTACTCGAGAATTTGAGTGTAAACTGGATTCTCAGTTGGACCATTCAATTGTCCTGCGCCCTCGACACTCTCGCTCTTATCGGAGTAGTAATAATCATTGGGAGGTGATGAGCCCCTCAAATTCGAGTCCTCATGACTGATTGGATAATTGTACTGATCATTCTGATCGATTAAACTAGCCTGATACCCCAGACCACTTTGGTATCTGTCCTGGTAATGCTGTTGGGGTATTCCTGTGTCATCGGCTAGGGGTCTCTGCTGCTCTCGGTGGGTTGCAACTGGTCTCGGATAATTTGGAGCTTTCGAGTAGTCGATTTCTGGGGTGTAGGAGCTTTCTGGGGATTCTGAGGATAGGGGACTGTTGTATTGGGAGTAGCTGACGCCTTGAGAATTGCCGGACTCCACTGAAGGATTCGATTCTTCTGAGACTGTCTCCAGAGGCTGAGTATTCTGGATTTGATTCAGAGTCTGGAAAGGAGATAACTCAATCAATTCAGTCAGTTCAAATAGTTAATGATAATAATCTTTTCCAAAATATCTTACAGATGACTCGTACGGACGATCACTCGTTCTACTTCTGATCTTTGGATTTTTTGCACCAGGAGTTCTTCTGTGGGATTCACTAGTACTGTACTTTGTAGTTGTCTCTGGAGTTTTTGCTCTTGTTGGCTCATAACTATCTTTGTATTCCTCTGTAGTTGTTGTGTATCTTGATCGAGATCGACTCAGAGGTCTTCTGGTTCTGTCGTTAGAACTGCGGTTTGACTCTCTCGTCACTGATGCTGGGGTTGTAGTTGTGGTCAGTGGACGAGTAACTCTGCCCCTGTAACCGATAGATCCTTCTTGAACTTCTGGGGATAAATTTGTATAATTCGAGACAAGAGAAAGTGGGAATGTGTTCTTTAACCGAAAGGATTTGATAGCTGGAAGTAATAAAATCAAATCACAAATGAACTTGATGATTAATGAGAGAGTTACCTCTGGCGAGATCGAATCCTGTAAGTAGACGTGGGTGCCTCGGTAGTCGTTGGAGTTTCAGTGGTTGTAGTTGTCGTCCTCTCCTGTTTATTCTCCACTAACGAGTTCACCAGCCCCGGAAGTTGAGGATGAATTGGTGGAAGCTCCGCTGGCAGACTGTAGTGTGTAGGACTGAGAGTACCTCTTTCTGTGCCTTCATAAGATCCATTAGATTCAAAGCTCTCGCCAGCATGATGATGTCCATGATGCGGCTCTACACCAGCTTGCTGCGCAGGATGTGCAAAAGCATCATCAGCGTGGCGATGCTGGGAATAATCATGCTGATTGATTTGCGCCAGCTGAGACGTCAGCTCCTGATTGCTGTTGGGCTGAACCCTAGTATGGACATAACTATTCTCATAAACAGGTGTTGTTGAGAGAATTTCTGGATCATAACCGTATGAAGACACCACCGATGGTTTTCTGTAACTGATTTCTGGTGTGACTGGACCTCCGATCGCTTCCTCAGGGTAGTCTGGACGATGTGGTCTTCCAGATGCATTCAGATCTTCTTGATAAGGCGACAGGGAGGCGTTTGGAGCTTCTGTTGGTGCTAGATGATGAACAGTGGTCTGATACTGCTGTTGCTGTTGCTGATGTTGATGCTGTCCATTCTGATTGAACCTGAATCTGTCAGTGGCACTTGGTGGAAAGTGCACTGTTGGCTGATACTGCGGAGTGACGTGTTCTTGTCCATATGTCGAATAGCTTGGGGTCGTTGGAGATTCGTAAGTGGACGGATAGGTTGATTGATAATGCGATCCTTGACCAGAGGATATAAACGAGTTGGGCTCGATCAAGGGTTGAGGATGAGCTTGAGAATGAGCCTGAGGATGAGCTTGAGAATGAACCTGAGGATGAGCTTGAGGATGAGCTTTGCTTTCTGGTGCTGAAGGTCCTGAAGGTCCAGCCCCCAAATGTCCATCAATCGTATTAACAATAACCGATCCAATATGAGGAGCTGGGAACGGTATTTTAGAGTAACCAACAGGTGGATTGAAGCTCAAAGGAGCGACAAAGAACGGAAGTTTATCTACTCTTCTTTCAACTCTAGTTGTGTCCAATGATGACAGATAGGGTAGATCGAATCTCGAGTAAGTGTTGGGTACATCTAGATTTGAGGGACCAACAAAGACCTTAGGGGACTCTGCAGTCACTTGATCAACGACAGCGATTGTCTTGGCTTCTCTGAGGACCCTGAGAACATCAACGACTTTGACTTCTTGAGCGATCAGATC